GCCACTGGCTGTCCTGTCAGCCTCATCCAGCGCGGAGGAGCTCCCTGCTGGCTCTTCCTCTTCCCAGTTTGTCCTGTTGCCCCCATGAGGGCAGTCACAGAAGTGCACACCAGGAGCTCCCCGCACTTGCCTCAGGCTTTCCTACAACAAAAGCAGAGCAGGGTGGCCAGGGGCAGCTGAGGGGACGTTCCGGCAGTGGGCAGCAATTCCTCCCTGGCTCTGAAAGTCTTCACTGCTCTGCCGCCATGGTCCCATGTCCTCTGGCCACGACTAACCACTCGAACTCTGCCGTGTTCTGCCTCGAATGCAAAAGAGGGCCAGGCTGATAGGCAGACCCTCATTTACCAGTTTTCTATGGATGTTCATGTCTACCACGTTTCTTCCTTTTCTGGTTTTGGTCAAGCAATTCATATAATTCTATTTTTTCTCCTTTCTTATCACACCTATTTTCTTTTACAATTTTGTATTTGCCTCCATTTATAACTTAGCCACGTCTGTTTTCAAGCATCACAATGCTGCTGCACCGAGGTGTAAAGAACCCAGAACAGCCTCCACCCCTCCTTTCCCCTCTCCCAGCATTACTGCCTGCACCACCCGGACCCAGAAGCTAAAACCCCTGAATAACTGTTGCTGTCATTCATTTGAACAAAGTGTTACTTGGTAGGTCAATTCAGAGCAAGAGAAACAAAGTATTTTATTGTACCACTGTTACTCTTTCTTGGAGTTTCTTTTATTTTGTCCAAATTTCTTTTTTTTTAATCTAATATAATATATGTAGGTATTAGTAAAAAATATTAAAAAGCACTCTTCTTACTTCTATAAGAAACAAAATTTCATAACAAAATAACCAGAGTATAACAATAGCTTATTCACTGTGTATCATAATCTTAAGCAACCAAAATGTTACTCAGAGTACAAGTCATAGACCAGAAAGCCCTCTCTTACAAAGAAGAAACAAATAGTAGCACAAAACTTTATTTTCAGTGAACTAAGAGAAACTTTGTATGAAACAAATTAGTGCATATTTTTGAAACAAGAGGAGTAAGTAATTTGGGACTTTCTATTTGTCTTCTATTTTGCTCTGTCTGTCTATCTATCTTCCATATAACAGAAATCATGTGATGTTTAAGCTTGTGTGTCTGATTTATTTCACTTAACATTATGTATTCAAGTTGCATCTCTTTGCCTATGAATGCCTCAAATTTATGGAGTTTTTTCATATTGGATTTTTAAGAATTCATTAAGTTTATCGGTACATTTTAGGTACATAATATGATGACATTTATTATTGGGAATTTGTACTATTACATGATGTATCTTGGTTCTTATTTTTGTTCCCCGTTCCCCTGCCCTCCCTTCAACCCCTCCACCCATCCCTATTTACAAAGATTTTCTTTCCATTTTTTTTCTTTTCTCATATTTGTTCCTTTCCTCTACCCCTCCCACTTCCCCTTCCCATTTGGACCTTTTCTTCCTATTTCACATTATTTATTATACATTTTGATCCTCATTTACACTTTCAGTTTCTCACACCACAGAAACTGTTCAGTATTTACACTTGTGTCCAATTTATTTCACTTAAGAGTATGTGGCCTCAATGTGCATCCATTTAGCTATAAATATCTCTAGTTTCTCATTCTTTATGGCTGAGTAGCATTCCACTTAATTTTTAAAAAACACATATTCTTTAGTTTCCAGTTGATGGGCATCTGGGCTGTTTTCAAGATCTAGTTATTACAAACTGTGCTACTATAAACATTGGTGCACATGTATTGCTGTGATGTGATGCTTTTAATTCTTTTGGGAAGATACCTAGCAGGGGAATATCTGGATCAAATGAGACCTCTTCTCTGCATCATCTAGCAGCTGCTAGACTGATTTCTCGTGGCCCCTTGCTATTTTTAGAAAATCTTTTTTTCCCAGTCATTAATTGAAATCCTGTCTTCTATATCTGATATTTTGTCCTCACATTGGCTCATTCTGCTATGCAAACTTTCAATGAAGTTTTGAATCATTTGGATATCTGTTTGAATCTGTTTCATGAGTTCCATTTTTTTCCTATGCTGGGATTCCATCATGTTCCTGAGCTACTCTATTTTTTTTTTTAACCTGTGTCTGCTCTAGAGCTTTTAAGCATGTCTTTTACTATGGACACCATCTCTGTTGTTATCTGAGAAATCATTTCTGATTTTATTTTTTGCAGATCCTCTTTCATTGCCAGTTGAGGAAGTCCGGATGGTTGAGTTTCAGATTGTTCCACCTCATTGCCCCTTGGTGATCTGGAAGTCTGGTTTTGAGTCTTTTTTAGACGTCTTCTCATTTCTATTTTGTTGTTGTTGTTGTTGATGATGATGATGATGATGATGATGCCTTTAGTTTAATTCCTGGGTTGCTGCTTGTAAATTGCTTATTGTGAGTATCTTTATTGCTAGTATTTAAGAGCCTTAGAGAATAACTACTTCTTGGATTGTCTTGTAGGTTTAAGTTTTCGCCTTTTTCATTCCTAATTGCATGGATCTGAGCCTTTTCTTTCCTTTTTTTGATAAGATTAGCTAAGGGTTTGTCAATTTTATTTATTCTTTCAAAAAACCAGCTCTTTGTTTCATTTATTTTTTGTATCGTTTTCTTAATTTCAATTGCATTGATTTCTGCTCGGATCTTTATAATTTCCTCTCTTGTTCGAGCTTTGGGTTTTTCTTGCTCTTGTTTTTCTAGGAGTCTAAGTTTCTGGCATCTGAGTTTTGAGTCTGTAATGGCCCGTCAGAAATCTCGGCCTTGGTATAATAGAAAGGACAACTGACCAGAACAGTCACTTCACCATGGTCAAAGTAGTACAATCAGCATCACCAATATCATCAAATGCAGCCTAGAAAATGACAAACTGTGGACACTATTAATCTACCAACTTTGACTGCATGAACCAGACTTGTGATTATATATCAAAATCTAGAACCAATCAGAAATATATCTGTAGTAAATAAGCCCTTCAATATAGAAAAGTTGCCCTTTTGGGAGATTTAGAAGGAGTTGGCAGAGGTAGAGAGATTGAAGGAGAGGGAAAAGTTAGAGGTAAGGACAGAGGACACAGGACGATCATGCAAACTTTGGGAAACTGGTGAAGACAAAAGGGAAAGAGAGAAGGAAGAAACAAAAACAAGAACAGAACAAACTGGCAGCAACAGAAAAAAACCACAAACTGTATTCTCACAGCTATGAAAATAAGAACAATGGAGGAAAAAAACAGAACAAAAAAGGCAAGACATGAAGAGGAAGGAGAAAAGAAGAAAAAAAAGTGTCCCATTTGAGGCATGTGTCTGATGTTCCTGGTGGACAATGTGGGCAGAGTACAGATCTGTGTCGACTGATCTCAGCAAGCCAGCCCTAGTTCACTGACGTTCAGGCCGGTTTCTGGGTGCGAGGCTGGAACTGAGCTCCTGGACCTCCTTCAGGTTTGGACTCTGTATAGTTCTACTGCAGGATCCAGCTGCCCTTCCCTGCAACAAGTCTGGTTCCGGTACGAGGTGTTGACCCCAACAACTCACCAACCACTGCACCCTGCTGCACCTTTACTGAGGTGGCTCTGCTCTCCCAGTGGGCTTCAATTCTCCACAAACCTCGGAGAGGCCTTCTCTCTGCTGCTCAGCACTGTGCCAATTCTGGGCTCAGAATGACGGCCTTCTGGATCCCCTTGCTGTGCTGTTGTCCTGGTGGGCCTCTGGCTGGGGCATGCGAGCCCTGACTGATGGTGTCCAGGAGGGCCTCTCAAGTTTATTTTTCTTTATGGTACTCGAATGTGTATAAATACCAAATTTTTCTTATCCATTCATCTTTTGAAAGACTCATATGCTGCTTCCAAGATCTGGCTATTATAAATTGTGCTTCTATAAACATGAGTATGCATGTATCCTGTCATATGATGACTTTAACTCTTCAGGAAGATACCTAGGAAGGGAATAGCTGGGTCAAATGAAATTTCTACTTTTAGTTTTTGGAGGAACACTGATTTCCCTAGTGGTTGTACTAGTTTCCATTCCCACCAATGCTGTAGAATTCCTTTTCCCCCACATCTTCACTAGCATTTGTTATTAGAATTTTTGATGATAGCCATTCTTTGTAGGGTAAGATGATATCTCAAAGTAGTTTCAGTTTACATTTCTCTAATGGCCAGCAATGTTGAACATTTTTCAAGTATTTATTGGCCATCTGTACTTCTTCTGTGAAGTGTTTATTCATTTCAATTGCCTTTTCAAAATTAGGGCTTTAAGTTTGAAGGGTTCTAATGTTTTTGAATTCTTTATATAGTCTAGATATCAGTTCTCTATCTTAGGAATAACCAGCAAAAAATTTCCCCATTCTTTAGATTGTTTCTTCACTCTGTTAGTTGTTTCCTTTGCTGTGCATAAGCTTATTAATTTGATATGATCCCATTTCTTGATTCTTGGTACTATTTCTGGTGCCATTGGGATTTTTTTCAGAAAGTCTTTGTCTATGCCTATAGATGTCTTCAAGAGTTTTACCTATTTTATCTTCTGGCAAGTTGTTTCTGTTTTAACATTTATATTTTTAAAATTCCTTTTGATTTTAGCTTAGTACAGGGTGAGATGTGTAAGTTTAGACTCAATCTTCTGCGTGTGGATATACATCCAGTTTTCCCAGCACCGTGTTTTAAACAGGCTAACTTTCCTCCAGTGTATGTTTTTGGCCCATTTGTCAAAGATTAAATAGTTGAATGTGCCTGGTGTTGTTTCCTTCATCTTCTATTCTGTTCCATTGACCCACGTCTGTTTTCATGCCAATTCCATGCTGTTTTGTTATTGTTGTTTTTTAATCCCAGTAGCTTTGTAACATAACTTCCCATCTTAGATTGTGATACTTCCTGCTTTACTTTACCCAGGATTGCTTTTGCTATTCTGGCTCTCTTTTGGTTCCATATGAATTTTAGGGTTGTTTTCTCTAGTTCTACGAGGAATGCTGTTGGTTTTTGATTGGGATGTGTTAAAAAAAAAATAAGGAACACCATAAATTTTCGTGTCATCCTTGTGCAGGGGCCATGCTAATCTTCTCCACATCCTTCCAATTTTAGTACATGTACAGCTGAAGCAAAAGCACCCATCTAAGTTTCTGATCTAAAAAATTTTCTTTGCTCTGATGGATTTTTTAAAACAATTCTTGTGAAGCAGATGTACTGGCAACAAATTCCAACAATTTTTGTCATTCTGAGAAATTCTTTATTTTTGCTTCACTTCAAAGCATAATTTTAAGCCAGGCTTGGTGACACACACCTGGAGTCCCAGCTACCCAGGAGGATAAAGCAGGAGGATTGAAAAGTTGAGTTCAGCTTGGGCAATTTAGCAAGACTCTATCTCAAAATAAAATTAAATAGTAAAATAAAATAAGATAAGATAGGATAAAAGAAAATAGTGTGGATATCACTCAGTGGTAGAGCACTTACGTAGCATACAGAAAGCCCTGGGTTCAATCCCCCATATCACCTAAAAGGGGGTGGGGGCATGATCTCATTGATACAGAATTCTAGGTTGATATTTTCCTATTTGGACTCTTCAAATATTTCACTCTATTCCCTTCTTTCTTGCATGGTTCTTAAAAAGATGTTCTATAAAATCCTTATTTTTGTTCCTCTATAGAAAGATTTTTTTTCCTTTGGCTTCTTTTGAGAATTTCTTCATGTCTGATTTTCTGCAGTTTGAAAATTATATACCTAGGTGTAGATTTTTAGGGAGGGAGGGTTAACCCTGCTTGGTGCTCCCTAAGCTTCCTGAATGTTGAATTTGGTTTAGTATCTGTCATGGCATTGTCATTGTGCGCATATTTCACCTTTTATAATTGTTCTACAGTTCTTTGATGTTCTATTCTGTGTTTTTCAGCCATCACCACCCCCAGTAGTGGGGGTTGAACCCTAGGCCTTCTCCCTGAACTACATCCCCAGTCCTTTGTTTTATTTTTTTTTTATTTTGAAACAAGTTCTCAATAAATCACTAAATTGCCCATGCTGGTCTTGACTTTATGATCCTCACTTTCCCAGAGTCCCAGGATTCCAGATCTGCCCTACCACACCCAGCTCACTCTTTTTCACTTTTGCCTTTCAGTGTGGGAAGTTTCTTTTGACATAGCTTCATACTCATGGAGTCTTTACTTGGCTCTTTCCGGTCTGCTGAAAACTTATTAAAGGTATTCTTCACCTTCATTATATAGGTTTGATTTCTTAAATGTCCTCTGAAGGTTCTTGTGTTGAAGGCTTGGTCCCAGTGGAGCAGTGTTCAGAGAAGTGGAGCCTTTGGGAGATGACTGGGGAGCTTTGTTATAAAACGAGCTCTCTCTGTCCCCACCCTCTGCCTCCCCTCCTCCTTCCCTTCTCCCTTCTCTATTTGCCCTTTGCTTTCAGGAGCGGAACCACCTTGCTTCACAATGCCCTCCGCACCACAATGGTGTGCCCCGCCACAGGCCCCAAGACTACAGAGCCAGTAACCGTAGACCTAAACCTCTGAAACTGTGAGTCAAAATAAACCTTTCCGCTTTTCAGTTGATATTCTCGGGTGTTTTGTCACTGTGATGGAAAGCTAATGTGCTAGCATTTCTTTTTTGATTCTTTCTTTGAATTTCTATCTGATATTAAGCTTGCTTGAAGATACATATATTATATCTATCTATCCTCATATATATATATAATATATCTGTATATATTATATATATATAGATAGATATATAATGGACAAATGGACAGCTTCTCAAAAGGATATGAAATGGCAGGGAAACACTGAGAAGCCTATGAGAAAAGGGCTACTTTAGGCCTTTATAAAACAAATCATTACTTCTGAACTTTTATACCCAACCTAACATTCTCATGACTATTAGGTAAACTTTCTGGGTTGTTTATGAGACCTGATTAATCACTCACATCTTGACAAAAAGTAGACCTCTGACTTAACTGATCTTCTCCCTAAGAATGCAGTGAGATACCCTCTCAAGCCCCTCCAGACTGTCCTTCCTTTATGCTGACTTATTCACTGAAGTATTCATTTATCACTGCCTTTGCCCTCTGCCTAGAAAGTTCATTGCCATTTCTTTTTCTCAGAGAAGTTTCTCAGGACAACCTGAAACTGTATTTCGAGGCCATAGTCATTCGTATTTGGCTCAGCAAGAATTATTTTCTTATCTCCTTTAAAGTACAGATGTTATTTCACAGCAACACTTTTCCCTGCTTACATTACCCATCTATTCTTGCGCACTGTCTCCTTAATCCCATAGAGCCTGCAGTATGTGAGTCATAAGTTGTCTTGCATTCCATCACCCTTGCCACATCTTTTTCTGATGATTGCTCTGTCTCTTCAACCTTTTAGAGGTCACAGCTGGTCAGAACAACACAAACTCTTCTCAAATATTGTTAAAGAGCCACACCTGACCCTTGACTGCTACAGAATTAAATTGTATTTCTTTCTTTTTTGTCTTTGGTGGTTTTTTTTTCCATTTTGTCTTCCAGTATGTCTTATAATTTGGATGGATCCGTTGAAAAAGTGTTCCCATAGCAAAATTTCTCAATGGTGATTAACCCCTGCTGGTCTGATTAAATATTTTGGTTTTTACTGGTTTTATCTTAAAGAAAATTTTCATTTCACCTCTCCCAATGGACAGATCTTTACTTCAAGATGCATAGCAGTCTACTACTGTCAAAGCTTCTAACTCACCAGCCACAGGCTTCTTCAGCAGTGTAGTGTGTTACCTGGGGCTCCTGACATTCCTTGTACCACCAACCCATACAGTAGATGGCAGATGCCAGTACAAAGATAGCCATTCACGGACTGGAATTCATCACAATCGCCAATTGCTGTGGATTTCCCTATAAAGGCATTTTTTAAAAAATTCAAGAAATTTTCAAGTTCATATGGTTTAATGGATTTGGAAATATTGCTTTCAATCTCCTCTTATTCCATACATTAGCAGAAAACTGTTAACTAATAAGATGTTTTTACTTCTGATTTTAACATGGCAAGTACAAATACCCAGGGACAAATTCTCTAACTGAACACTTCTGAGAAGCAGACTGTTCAACTGCTTCAGGTGTTCTTGCAGCCTGGATGTGATGCTGGGCGGTTGCACTTGTAGTAAATAGGCCTTTAGTGGCACGGTTCTGAGGATGGGGGAGCAGAAGCATTCTGCAGTCCAGTCCTACCCTAAGTCTCAGGCTCTCATGAGCCTGTTTCACAGCTGTGAGCTTCACTACCGCTTCTCAGCCTTGCCCTTCCCTGACCCTTAGGTGGAAAAGGATGAAGTGAGCAATGGAGTAGAGTGTTTTCTTTCTTTTTTCTTTTTTTTTGGTACTGGGGATCGAAGTGGGGTCCTTGCACTTGCGAGGCAGGCAGCAGAACCACTGAGCTAAATCCCTGGCCCAGGAGTAGAATGCTTTCTCTGTCCGGGTGGGGAAGGTTTTAAAACTCAGAAGCTTGGGCTCATTTGGTTTCTCCAGATGACCTCAATGAAAGTACAGTACTTTGTAATATTTTTTAATGCCTCTCTTTCTCCTCCTGGTGCCTGCATAAGAGGAATTTTTTCTCTGATATTTACAATGAGAACCTGGCAGAACCCCAGGAGGTAAATCTCAGAGAGACATGAGGGCCGGTGATGGCAACCCTAATGTTTGAGCTCTCAGGCTCGTCCACTCGAGGCCCACACGGGTAGTGCTTCCTGCAGGGCCTCTAGTCATGGCTTTGAACTCCTGTCTTTCCAATTTTGGGGAACAGTAGTTCGTCTTGTGAACTTAGTTCTCTGATGGATCACAGATTTGATTCTTTAGCTTTTCAATAGCTGATGACTTCGAAGATCCTTCAAATGGGAAACTGGAAATCTCACCTCTGTTTTTGAACTTATTTTTTCTTGCTGTTGAATCCTACATTGACAGCATTGTCTTTCAATACTCTAAGACCTGGCTCTTTTTATTCTTCACTGGCATTTTTTCCTACTGGGAATCTGTTGCTAGCCTTATATTTGTCCCTGCACACATAAACCTTGGGAAATGTGTTTCATATTTTCTCTTTATGGTTGATTTTGAGAAATTTGATTATGATGCATTGGTGTAGGTTTCTTCCTGTTTCGTTTTTTTAAAGTAGTGGCAAAGTTTACTTGAGAAAGTAAAAGTGAAGAATAGAAGAGAAACCAGCTCTGCAGAGCAAGCTTGGGTTAAGTAAATAGAAAAAGGGTAAGAGCAAAGATAAAAGTACACACTGCATCTGGGAAACACATGGTGGGCTATCATGGAAAGCTACAAGAGCACCAGCTCCTTATGGCCGCCTTTCATTTATACAGTCCACATCTCAAGGAAACCTGTGAGAACTTCTCCATACTGGTCTTGTGAGGCAGGGCTGGGATCCAACACCTCCGGCTGACGCTGTATTGAAGGCACATAACACAGAGAGACCACCTGGGCAGGATTTGTGTGAGCCACAGTGCTGTTTATTTAGAAACTGGGCATGAGTGGGCTGAGTCTGAGAGGGGGGTCAGCCTAGAGCAGGGGGAGAGCAAAGATTTTTAAGAGGGAGGTTAAGGGGGAAGTGGTTGCCAGGCAATAGAGGTGGTTGCTGGATGTTAGTAGAAGGAGCTACTGCCTTGAAGAATCTGGGGGCAGAGATAGTGTGGCCGGTGCTCCTCAGATGGGGCAGTGGTGCACATGTTTATGGAAGTGTACCAATAAACTCAGCGAGAGAAAAAAAAAATTTGGAGAGAAGGAATACCTGCTGACCATTTATTTTTTATTTTTATTTGTTATTAATTGAGTTTATTGGTACATTTTAGGTATACAGTACAGTTACATTCATCATTGGGATCTTGAACCTTTACATGACAGGTCTTCATTCTCATTTTTTCCCCTTGTCCCTGCCCTCCCTTCACCCACTCCTCCCCTCCCCATTTACAAACACTTCATTTCCATTTTTTCATTTTCTCATATTTTTTTCTTCTCCCTTATTACCTTTTTCCCACCCCTCCCACTTTCCCTTCACCTTTAGCCCCTTTCTTCCTATATCACATTGTCAATTATCCCATTAGGATCTTGTGTACTATTATAGTTTTTCACACCAGAGAAACTATTCGGTATTTACACATGTGTGACTTATTTATTTCACTTAGGAGTGTATCCTCTCTAAATTTTTAGTAGAAGTTCCTGGAGGAAGAAGTCTGTCTGCAATGACCTGTGTGAGCTGAAAACTGCATAACTTGCCTTTTTATATCTTTCTTAAACAGCACTACTCCCACCAGTGAACCACACTTCTTCAGGGTCTTTGGAGGGTAAATCACTTATGTCCTGCCTACTTACATAGGTCTGAGAGATGACTTGATCACAAGAGTGGCTAATTTCTGGGCCGGTAGACATCAAAGAAGCAGGGTTAATAGTAATACAAGTTTTGATAATAACCTCAGGGATAACCAAGAGCAGGGCCGATACTTAGTGAGCCATTCCCTCATCAACTACAAGTAACTCTTTGGTCTCCAGAATAGCTCTGACCTGATAGGGTGTCACAATGTCTAGTTTTTGTCCCAAAGTTAACTTTGTAGCTTCTTCTGTTAGTACAGCTGTAGCTGCTATTGCTCTCAGGAAGGTTGGCCATCCAGTGGCCACCCTATTTAATTTCTTTGAAAAGTATGACACTACGTGGGGTTCTTGCCCTAGCCTTTGGGTCAAGACACTCCCCCCAAAGCAATTCCTCCATTTTCTGATACATAAAGAAATGATTTCTTGAGGCAGGTATTCCCAGTACTGGGGCCTGGGTAAGGGTATGCTTTATTTTCCTAAAGGGAATGTTAGCCACTTTTGTCTATTCTAGGGGCAAGACTCAAGGCCTTCGACAGCCTCACATAAAGGCTTTGCTACTAGTCCAAAGTTAGGTAGTCAGATCCTGCAAAAGCTGGCCATCCCCAGGAATGATGAAGCTGTCGTTTGGTGGCAGGAGGCCCAAGATCACAGAGAGCCTGGATCCCATCTCCAGTCAACTGTCTTCTCCCAAGGTATAAGAATATATCTCAGATATTGAACTTTTTAGAAGGATAGCTGAGATTTTTCTTTGGAGACTGGATAACCCTTCTTAGCTAGAAAGTTGAGTCTCTGTACAGTGTTATAATTAGATAATTTCTGAGTGGGGCTACAGACTAGAATATCATCCACATACTGTAGGCTGGTTCTTTATTTAAGCTTTAAATTCCTCAAGTCTTTCTCTAGGACTCAGGCAAAACAGCAAGGACTGCCTCTAAACCCTGGTGGGAGAACTGTCCAAATATATCACTACTTTTCTCTTGAAATGGGATTTTCCCATTCAAAGGCAAATAGAGATTGAGTCTGGATATAGGAGATGGAGAATAAAATATATCTTTTAAATATAAAGTATTGAAATATATATGAATTATATGTAATTTTATATGTTAAATATAAAATATATCTTTTAATTCTAAGTCTGAGAACCAATTAGTGTCCCCTGGAATTTGGGAAAAAATAACGCCTGTAGAGGATGGACTGGAATGAGCAAACGAGGCAGAGGTCTTGTACCATCTAATACTCTCCTGCGGGCTTTACCACAGGGAGGATGGGAGTATTACAAGGAGACTGACAAAGGCCGCAGAAGGCCATTTTTGAGAAATTAGTCTATGAGAGTCTGGAAGCCTTTACGTGCCTCTTGCTTGGTTGAACACTGCTTTTGGTTAGGACATTGGCCGAGGTCTTTTCGTCTTATAACTACTGGCATAGTGGAGTTTACCCTCCCATACATTCCATGGTACCATGCAGCAGGATCCACTTGTTGACTAATTTGGTGTAGTCCTGACAAGTAAAATCCATTTTAGACTTAGCTAGAATTTGAGAATTCCCCCCACCGCCCCCATTTTGGTACTAAATCTCTTCCTAGCAAGGGAGCGGGACACTGTGGGGCAGTTAGAAACTCCTGGTTTAACATTTAGCCTCAAAATGACACCTCAGAGGAGTAAAGAATCTCTGACTAGGGGTCCCCTCAACCCCAACTATGGCTATAGACCTAGAGGAGAGATGTCAAAGTTTCCCAGAGAAGGAAGTCAAGAGAGAGTGAGCTGCCCCTGTATCAAAAAAAGCAGTGAAACGTGAACCCATGACATGTAAATTTACCCAGGTTTCTTCAGAGGAGATAGTGTGTACACGGACAGGGGCACTGCAGGTTTCCCTGGGCCTCTTCAGTCATCAGAGCAGGAAATGAGGGTTGCGGCTGGGCTAGCCCCTCTCTGAGCGTGGCGACATTCAAACCTTCAGTGCCATGAGACAGACACATGCAGAACTGGGCCCAGGCAGAAACTAGGTGCAATTTCATGTCCTGTGTCCAGTCTTCTTGCACTTGAAACAAGAACTATGTCCTTAGATGTCCCTGGGCTTCTCCTTAGATGACCTGGGTGGGTTTAAAGCATTACCAATTGCAACAGTTATAATTTTAGCCTTCTCCTTTCTCTCTCCCCTGGGTACCAGTTATTGAACACAGAAAATGCAGTGTTCAGCAATTAGGTCATAGGTGTCTGTGGCCCCACCTAAAGTTTGTGTAGATTATGTCGAATATCTGGGGCTGACTGGCAGATGAAGTGATGCCCCATTAGTGCCTCTCTCCCTCCCTGGACGGTAGACCTATATCAATATACTCGCAGAAGACTTCTACTAGTCAGTTACAAAACAAAGCTGGATTTTCTTCTGTACCCTGCAAGACCCCACTCACTTATCATAATTAACAGATTTTTTTTTTTAATAGCTGGGATTGAAATCGGGACCTTGCCTGTGAGAGGCAGGAGTCGGCACCACTGAGCTAAATCCTCAGCCCATTAACAGACTTTTTAATGCATCTTAGAGAGGAGACAACTAGGCCTATACTTTTCAAGGAGGTGTCCCACACCAAAGTTCACAAGGTGCCCCTTGTGAGACTTTACAGAAACCTAGATAGGTGCTTCTATTTGAGAACCTTAAAGTGATGTCTTCGTCTTTGGACCCATTAATTCATTAGGGAAAAGGGGGCTGGGACATCTGTTGGCCTTGCCTAGTCCAAACTCCTGTGAAGTAAGTGGGGAGCTTTCCCAAGCACAGTTCCCTTAGCCACCTAATTGAACCCCTTGATGGGTACCTTGCAGTTACTCTCTGTGAGTCCCTTGATGATGGCTCTTCTTAACCAAGATGACTCTACTTAACCAGAAATCATGTGGGGGAAAAAAAATCTCACATTTATTCCGACAGAAAAACTACTGAGTTGCGGTGGCTGTTTTCATAAACTTACATTTACTTTAGTTAAGATTTTAAATGTTGTTTTGTTCGGACATCAGGGGTTAGTCTTGAACTTAGCTGTGTTTAAACAGGGAAGTACAAAAGCCAGGTGACAGTGGCTTCAGAGAGGCCCTTGGAGTGGTCTTGAGGCACTAGGTTCTAGACAGAAATCTTGAGCATTTTAAAATGAACTAGTTTTTTTTTTTCCCTGTATTTGAATTTCTCCTTCCTAGTCATGGTCAGAAGGTCATGCCCTGCCAGGATGGGAGCAGATCTCTCCCATCCATGGGCAAGCATCCACCCAGCCATATGCACCTGCGTTTGTCCAGGCCGCAGCCAGAGATCCTCTGGTTGTAGAGCCCATCCAAAAGTTTTGCACTGGAAAAAAGCTGCATGCATTCCTAAAGGGATAGTATAGAGTTTTTCCTTCCTGTGAGAAGGAAAAAAAAACCCAAAACAACAAACCAACAATAACAACAAAAACAAAACAACAACTTTCTTTCTATGGTTTTCCATAATCTCATATGCTGTTTAAAATCAGAAGCTCAGCTTTTCAGGCCACTTATTTTAAATAAGGAAAAGAGAGAAAAGATGCTGGTGGCTGGTGACACTTGCCTACGTAAAATTTCCTTAGTCGTGCAACAAGACAAAGTGGCTTTTGGCAAGGTAGGTTAGCTGCTGGCCACATGGCCAAGTAACACGGCAGCATCGCCTACCAAAACATGAACTGAGAACAAAGCCATTTACAAGCACATGGAGACCAGGTAGATTTCAAAAAAGAGGAGCAAAGTATAACAAATGTGTAGGAAACAAAGACCCATGGAATGGGCACAAGCAGCTAGAAAGAAAACTGAAGGCTGTGTTTCCTTCCCCCACCCCCACAGCCAGGCCAGGGAGCCTCTCACCGGTGCCTTGAGAAGAGTTCCCAGGTTTCCGGCTTGGGCAAGAGAAAGTGAGGGAAAGAGGAGAAAGAAAGAAGAAAAAAGCTTGCAGAGAGAAACAAAAATTTTTGCCCAGATCGGTTAGGCCTTACCTTCGTCTTCAGTACCTGACCTTTTGTTTTCTTGTTTTTGGCCGCCCCAGAATGTGCTCTCCTGGCTTGGGTTGCCAAAATGTTGTAGGTAGCTTGTTCTGAAAAAGGAGTTCACTAACTAAACATTACTGGGTTTGAGGTTACTCGCCTTTCCTTCTGGAGCTGGATTCCAGGAGCTTCTTATCTCGAACAAAGAAGTTAATGAAATGATCAAAAAGCAATGGCAGAGTTTATTCGAGAAAGTAAAAGTGATGAGTAGGGAGAAACTGGCAGAGCAAACAGTTGCAGAGCAAGCTTCGGCCATATAAACAGAAAAAGAAGGTAAGGACAAAGATAAAAGTACACACTGTGTCTGGAAAACACAGCGTGGGCTATTGTGAAAAGCTACAATAACCTCTTTCTGTTTCTTGTACTTGGGATATGCTAAGCTTTTCATATTTAGGGTTCTGTAATTTTTACCAAAATTTTAAAAATTCATCCATTGCTTTTTCAAGTATTTCCTGTGTGTCTCCAGGCCTTTGGGGGGTATCAGTTACACATAAATTACACTGATTGTTTTCTCACAACTTATTAATATTCTGATCATTTTTAAAAGCCTTTTGTATCTTTGCTTTATTTTTAGTAGTTTTTGTTGCTCTGTCTTTATGCTTAATAATTGTTTCCCTTCAGCTTCTAATGTGATGTTAATCTAGTCCAATATATTCTCATCTCACACATTTTTGTTTTCATCCTTAGTAGTTCAACTGGTCTTTTTTTTTTTTTTTTTTTTTTTTTTCTTCTACCCTTTCTTTTTCACT